CATCAACAGATAAGTGGATAAAGAAAATGTAGTATGTGCATATAGTAGAATATTATTCAGCCTTAAAAAAGAAGAAAATCTTGTCATTTGTGACAACATGGATGAACCTGGAGGACATGCTAGGTGAAACAACCCAGTCATAGAAAGATAAATGCTGCATGATTCCACTTATATGAAATATCTAAAGTAGCCAGATGCATAGAAACAAAAAGTAGAAGGCAGGATGCCAGGGCCTATAGCGAAGAGGAAATGAGGAGTTGTTCAATTGATGTAAAGTTTCAGTTATGCAGGATGAATACTTTCTAGAGATCTGCTGTAAGACATAGCTGTACAACGTAGTGCCTTTGGATAGCAATACTGTGCTGTGCACTTGAAAAGTTGTTAAGAGGGTAGATCTCATGTTAAGTGGTCTTACTGCAAAAAAAGCAAAAACACAACAAAACAAAGGGACACCAGGAAACTTTGGGAGGGAACGATATGTCTATTACTTGGATTGCGGTGATGGTTTCAGGGGTGTAGGCATATCTCCAAACTCATCAAATTCTGTACATTAAATATGTGCAGCTGTGTGTGCATTAGTTCTACCTCAATAAGGCTAAAAATAAATAAAAGGAAAGCAAACCTGATAAAGGAGAAAAGGGCTCCTTAAGACACTAACTTCCATATTAAAGGGAATTGTTGGCACAGATGCTGGAGGAGCTCAGAGGGATGAGAGAAGAGACCATCAACTGCGGCTGAATAAGAACAAAAATCTTAGTCTCATATTTCTAAGCTACAGGAACTCAGAAGTCTTCTTTCTAAAATTCACCATAAAGATCCTCTACCACTACTTTCCATCTCTATGTCTCTATTAAACTCATGGGAGAGAATATTTGTTGGGATCCAGTGTCTCTGCCCTTGTATCAGTGAGGCACAGCCAGGGCATTGAGTAAAACTGAATCCAGCTGCCACTGCTTGTGACACAGGGAACAGGTTTCTTAGTTGACATCATGTTTGAGATGACATCCTAAAGATGAACTGGAGATAATTAAATAGTACTGGGGATAATGAACTGATAAGCATTTAAGAAAGATGGAAGATCCAGTGCAAAACTTTTCAGGCAGGAAAGAAATTAGTGTGCTTAATGAGTGGAAAGATGTAGAGAGGAGGCAGGAGGAAGGGAGTGAGCACAAGGTGAGACTGGAGAGAGGTAGGCAAACATCAGACCCTTCCTGACCTTATAACTCACAGTATATGATATGGAATTTAACATAAAATGCAATAGGACTCAGAAGTTTTTTAATAAACTTTATTTTTTAGAGGAGTTTTAGGTTCAAAGCTACATTAAGTGGAAAGTACAGAGAGATCTCATATAGTCCTTGCCCTGACATTGAGGTTAAAGAATTTGACTTCTGTAGCAATCAGATTAGTGTTTGTTGTTGGTGTAGGGGTGTGTGTGTGTGTGTGTGCACATGCATGTTTTATTAAATGGCCTGGCTACAGCGTGAAAAAATCACAGTCAGTGTGAAAAGAGCTGACGCAGAGAGAGAGCCAATGCATTGGCCCAGGCAGGTGAAAGCATAGCTAGGGTGAGGATGGTGGTGACAGAAACACTTGGAAATGAGAGATTTAGAAGATGTTTTGGAAGTAAAGTCAAAGGACTTGGTAATTGATTAGACACGAGAGGCAACAGACAGGGCAGATTGAAGAAGACTACCACAGACAGATGGATTCGGAGGACCAAGTGGGAAGACGATGATTTATTTGATACTAGGGGTATCTTTCAGGTAGAAATTTGACTGGAAATGAGCAGAAAGCAGTGGCACGTACAAGTCATAGACTCAGAAAGTGGATGTGGATGAGAGGTGAAATGTTGGGACATTCAGCAAAATTGGAAGAATGAAAGTGCTTATGATCCCTTGATCATAGAACATACCAAGAAAAGGGCATAGAACCTAGGACAGAGATTTGAGGAGCACCCTCACCTTGAACAGTGGCTAGAAAAGATTGAGAAGGCAAATTATATTCATAAACCATCAACCAATATTAGATTAATGACTGAGTGTTGATGTAACTAATTACTCCCGACGATTCTAAGCAGTACGCGCAGGTTATCACACCAAGGACTGCTTATTTCCTAATTCCTCTCTGATACTTGAGGTGTCTGGATGCTGCTTCACAGGTTGGAGCTAGCAAATCCCCACTCAGACCCCATTTACCTGGAAGGTGAAGGCAGTGAGAGATCAGAGGGCATTTGATGAATTTGCCCCTTTGGCCACTAGGAGGTGATGTGGGTCTTTCTGTAAAATATCCCTGGAGAATAAAGAGCAGGCTCAGCTCTTCCTTCACCTGAGAGAAGTTCTTAGATCCTGCGGGTCCCTCAGGTGAGATACGTTAGACATAGGTTGGGAGAATGATTTGCAGATATCCTGGGAGGCCAATTGGTCATAGCAGGATCCAACCTTACCCTTTGTAAGCCCCGTGCATTTACCACATATCCAGTACCTGTAATTGTCTGATTCAAATATAATTGATAAATAAGCAAATAAATGTCACCACAATTTCTATTCCACTTTGTGCTGAGTTTCCAGTCAGTGGAACAAGAAAAAAAGGGTGAGAATGAGAAAGGAAGGGCAAAGAGTGATTATTGACAGATGAAAAGTTTAAAGAAAGACTCTAAGGAATCTTTAGAAGCTTTGCATTATTAATAACAAAATTTAATAACTTTACAGAATTCAACACAAATATAAGGAATCAGTTTTATTTCTATATACTAGCAGCAGTTAAAAGATACGTTTTAAAAAGAGAGAGACCATTTACAAATAGTAACATAAAATATAAAACACCTAAAAACAAATCTATTAGAAGATAATCAAGACTTTAATGTGGAAAATTATTAAAATTTTAGAGGAAGACATTTTGAACATCTGAAATAAGTTGAGATGTATCCCATGATCATGAATAAGTAAACTCACTGGTAAGAGTATTCTAATTTCTGCAAACATCATCTGTAAATTCAATGCAGCACTAAACAAAATCACAAAAGATATTGTTTCATGAAATTTGACTCTACAAATCTGGTATCTAAGTGCAAAAGAGGGACAAAAACAGGCAACATATTATTGAAGAAGTTCAAAGTGAGGTGACTTGCCCTACCAATCATTAAATTATTTTATTATTTAGGATAAGGAAAAAACACACAAATGGGAAACAATAGATTAAAAATAGGCCCATGCCTATATATAAGTACTTAATATATGATAGAGACATCATTACAGGTGTGTAAGGGAATGACATAACATAAAATAAGCTATTTTGGGGGCCAGCCCTCTGTCCAAGTGGTTAAATTTTTGCACACTCCACTTCCTCGGCCCAGGTTCAAAGTTTCGGATCTCCAGCGTTGACATGCTCCACTCATCAGCCATGCTGTGGAGTCATCCCACGTACAAAATAGAGGAAGACTGGCATGGATGTTAGCTCAGGGCTAATCTTCCCACCAAAAAAAAGATAGATAAATAAAATAATCTATTCTTGGACAAGTGGTTATCCATACAAGGAAAGATTAGATTAAACACAGCAGCAGCAAAAATAAATTCTAAGTGGATTAAATGCGTAAATGCAACATTCAAAATGTTTACTGTCTGGGTAAATAATATGAGAATATATCTTTATGAGCTTGAGCCATGGGAGTATGCCTTATAAAGAATTAAAAAATTCATACCCCACCAAAAAAATGATAAACTACTAAATTAAGAAATTTCAACAAAAAAGATTACAAAGAGTGAAAACACAAGCCACAAATTGGAAAGATATTAGAAACACATATAACTGACTAAGGTTTGGTATCCAGAATATATCAAGCACTGTTACAAATAAATAATAGTAATCATCCAAAAAAAAAGACAGGCAAAGAGGGATTTACAGAAAACAGGAGTGGCCTGTGCATAGTAGGAATATGTTCCATCTCCACAGCAATCATAAAAATTCAAACAAAATCTGCAGCGAAATACAATTTTAACCTCATAGACATGCAAAATTAAAAGGATATTAAATTCCAATTGAGTCTTAGATGTGGAACATTTGAAAATACTCATGAAATGCTAATGAGACTATTTATTTAACTTGGTTAATTTGGAAAGCATTTTGTCATATTATATAAAGTTGATGTGGTTTCACTAAGTCTCAATCTTTACATTCCCAGGAATAGAAAAAATCCTGCACCTAGGTTAGCAGAGAAAGGTACAAGAATGCAGTCCTATCTGCAGTAGCATGAAAACCTAGAAAAAAAAGCGTGAGTTAATTTAAGAATGGTTAATAAATTCGGCAAACAAATAGAATGGTTTCCTATATAATAATGAAAGTGAATTATCTAAATTTATACGAATCCACGCGAATTAATATCACAAACATAATGCAGAATAGAAAAAGAACATGTCACAGAAAAAAAATATGAACCCAATGATTCCAGTTAGATAAATTTCAAAGACATACAACATTAAAAAATATATAATTTACAGATTCTTACATACGATCTAAAAACGATAATGAAAACCAAGTGGATAAAAATATCAGCTGTAGGGTTATGATTACGTGGACGTGGCGAAGAAAGGGCAATAAAATCTGGAAGAATAATACAGGGGCTAAAAAATTCTCAGTGATAATCTCTCTCCTAAGCTATTGGCTCAGGCAAGAATGTTCATTTTATTGTTCCCCTAGATGCATTGGATATTTGTAATAGATATTGTTTTGGATAGTTTAACATTTAATTTTTTAATGTAACGTCGCTGCTATGTGATTTTATAAGTGAGGTGAAACTTATGATTGGTATACACCAAGCTATATGATGTATTTCCTGATATGGAAGGAAGGAGTGGGGGAGGCACATTAACAGGTTCAAAAAGCAAATAAATACATGATGTGTAAGTGATTTTATTTAAAAAAATAATGAAAGAACAGAGTCAGGGAAAAAGAAAATAAAAGCAGTTTGAAAATTCACACCGGTTATTTTCACCCGCTCTTCCTGTCCAACCACATCCTGTGAAATGTTTTAGTCTCAGGCACACAGCAACCGTGAAGACCATGGGAAACGACCACATCACAAGGAGGTTGCTCATGGGGTATGAGGAAGCCATAGAGAAAAGGCCACCTGCCATTACTTTCCCTGAGCCAGCCATGTGCCACAGACTTCTCTGCTGTGTGGCCCTTTTTTTCTGGGGAGCAGGTGAGTTCCTGTTGTGACCATGTCCGATTCCAGTTTCAGGACTGGCTGCTGGGGCTGCTGAGTACCAGGCTCCCTCCTGGGTCCTTTCTCCACTTTTTGTCTTTTTCCTCCACAGGCTCCATGGACACTAAGGTCACCCAGAGGCCTGGACATCTAGTCAAAGGAAAGGAACAGAAAGCAAAGATGGATTGTTTCCCCATAAAAACACATATTCATGTTTATTGGTATCGCCGGAAGCTGGAAGGAGAGTTTGAGTTTTTGGTTTACGTAAGGAATGGAGAGATTACGGATAAAATAGAAGGGTTTGATCAGCAGTTCTCAGTTGAACGGTCCCAAGATGAACGCTACAGCCTGGAAATCAAGTCCACTGAGCCAGGAGACTCAGCACTGTATTTCTGTGCCAGCAGTGAATCCACAGTGCTGAATGTGAGCTTTTCTTAGCACACAAACTCATCGTGGACCCAGCTCAGGAAATAGTGGTGTGTTAGGTGAACAGGAACTAACAGAAACCAACTTGAAGATCATAACTCAGAAGGAAAAATGTGTAAATGGCAGTTCTAGCTGAGCAGAACATACTGTTTAAAATAGCTTATGGGGACAAGAAACCCAAGGAAGGGGAAGGAAGGTGTGAAGGGAGCTCAGATTCTTAGGTTTGCAGGGTATCTGGCAAAGGAAAGACCCAGGATGCATTTTTCCCCCTGAGCTTGATAGATTTCTAACAATCTTTATTTAAAAAGTGTAATTCTGTACTTCCCACCTGGCAAACCTGTGCCTTCAGGAATAAGGATAACAGGCGGGTCAGCTGTCTTTCCTGAGGACCCTGATCCTCTGGCCCAGCACATTCCGTTGATCCAGACCCAGAGACTCATTAAGGTTTCATGACTGCTTCTCATAGCTGTCCCTGCCATAGGAACTCAGTCTCCCTTACCCAATTTCTTCTTTCCCCTTCTAGGTAACCATTTTAGTTATTTTCTTGGCTTATCTTTTCATTGTTTCTTTGAAAATATGTAAGCATTCCAGATGAAGAAAGACAGCATTAGAAGCACGGAATGGGAGCAGAGTGTGGAATCTTTTGCAAAATGGGAAAGGGTGGTGAGGAATATAAACTTTTTCATTGTTTACTCCTTTGAACTACCTCTGAAACCTGACACTGCTTCACAATGAAAGCATCAAGGATCTTGAACCCACTAGAATTGTCTGAAATTCTGTCAACAAAAATAGTATATATATTACCATTCAGTGAGATCTGAAGTGTCTCAGAATTAACAACACATGCTATTGTAAGGGATTATTTTAAAGTATATACAGTGTAGGTCTTTTTGGTATTCAATTTTGGGGATATTTTTTCTGATTGCAGGTTTCCTTAGCATAAAACCTCACTCTTTCATGAAAGAAAGTATATTTCTATCATACTGTGTCCCTGTCATTTTCTATTCCAATAGTGCCCCTTGAGAATCACATATACATCATGATAATGAGGAGGATGGGGATGTTGATGAGGAGGAGGAGGATGAAGGTGACTCATAATGAAGGTGCTATACAGAAACATAGTTATAGAAATTGTGCATGTTCCCAGGACCAAATACAATCATAGTAAGTAGCTCTCATTGGAGATGTGGGCCTGTAAATCAGTCTAAAGAAGTGGTTTAAATCTTTTTTCCTTTTTTATTTTTTAATCAGGACTCCTTTGAAAAATCTGAGATTGCACATGTGGGTAAACTATCTCTAAGGATATGTCAACTTCCTAATGTTTCAGGTCCACTGATTCCATCATGAGGCATATTCTCTTCTAAAGCAAAAATTTTTAACCTGGGACCAATGGACCTTCTTCTATAGATGGCATTCAGGGAATCCATGAATTTGAATGCGAAAAATGTATCTTTATTTTCACTTATCTCTAACTAAAATATGGTATTTAGTTCACAATAGAAAGTAGTGAATAAACCACAGCAATGTTAGCAGTACCTGTGACAAAGTCAATAATGGAAATCACAGATATTTGCATATACTACAGTTGAAATGAAAGTCACAGTTATTTTCATATCACGTTATGTAGAGTAAATATCATTTAACTTCATCACTACTTTGAAATCACGGCAGTTTTCAGAAGCTAGGATATATTTTATTTAATGAAATTTAAAGATGTATGTATATTAATATATCATAAATTTTTAAAAAATATTTTTATAACTACATTTCAAAATAAGTGGTTTCCTTTGTAACACTATGCATTCTATTTTATGGGTTTAAAGCATTATTCTGAGAAGGGGTCCTTAGGATTTGCCAGATTGTCAAAGGGGCCCATGGTACAACAAGGGTAAGAGATCCCATATGAGGATGAGATGCTCAGCTTTGCAGATTTGACTGAAAACCTGAATCCTAAACGCAGTCATTGGAAGCAACCTGTCAGCAGGATTCTTTCTCAGAGTTCTGTGCACATGCTGCACTTTCTAATGATGCTCATTCTAAATGATTACGTTCTTTTCTTCTCCCTTCTCCCTCTCTCTCTCTCTCTCTCCCCTCGACACACACACACAGACACACGCCTTTCTTCCAGGAGTGGGCAGCAACAGTTTCGAAGTCACCACATTATACCAAAAGTTTCACCATGAAAGTGTCTTTTATTACAGATAACCTCAGACATAAAAATGAAACAAACATTTATCTACCAAAATAACAGCATCCATTAAGAAGTAGTTAATCTACGATCACATTTTCATTTATCTAAGACTCTTGAGAAGAAACTATGCCATGCAATGAATTCACACTCATATAAATTTCAACTGAGTGCTGGGAAATGACATTTTAGTTAGCTGGTGCAATCCTATGTCAGTATGTGTCTCATTTTCTTTAACAAAACATTAACTTCCTAAATCTGTGGATTAGAATGCCAGGTCCAGAAAATAATAATAGCAAACAGGAATATGGTGCTTCTTTGTGTTAAGAAGTGTTTTAATTTCTTTATTTATATAATATTCACAACAACTTTAGAAGTAGAGACTCATTATACCCGTTTTACTGATGAGAAAATCACATCAAAAGGAGGGTGAGAGACTTGCCCAAGGTTACATAGCTGCCAAATGGCCCAGATAGGACTCAAGCCCAGGCCATCTCCCATATCCCTGCTCTAATTCACTGCCATCAGGGGACAGTGGGTTTAGGGCCCTTTGCTATTGCTGAAATTACTGGAGTAGCCTCTGCTCCTTCTCTACTGCATCAAATACCACTGTATCAATAAACACAGAGGATGGAGAGAATTAGATCTATTTTACAACAACAAAACATCTTAACCTCTTCTTGTGTTTGGAGATTCCCCACTTAACAATATTGGTGGGAAACACAGAGGTTGACAGGCATGTAATAGACTCTGAAACTTGTACGTATTTCTTTTCCTTGTTCTTAACACAGCTTGTGCACAGGCACATGGCGTTCAGAGTGCGACTCTGACCAGGAAATGGGAGATTATGTCTTCTCACCATGCAAGATCCTGTCCATTTAGAAGGGATATAAAGAGCTCTGCAGGCAGAAGAGAAGGTGCAAGTGACTTCATCTCTCTAAGCTTCAGTCTCCCCATCTACAAAATTACCTGTGGCAGTCAGCCATTTGATAGCAATGACAAAAGCTGCACATTCAGCCTGGGGGAGCCCTCAACTCCAGCTCCTTCCCTTGGCCTCTCTCAGAGTCTGTGTCTGGAGCTTCACAAAGATCCTTTCCCTGCCATGGGCAGCTGGGCCCTCTGCTACATTGCCTTTTGTCTCCTGGGAGCAGGTGAGTCCAACACCCAGGTGGTAAATTCTTATCCTGAGTGTGCAGACTCCCACTCCAGCACCTTCTTACAACACAGTGGGGTTCCCTTCTAAGCCTTACTCCCCATATTTGTATCCTTACCCACACAAGACCTGTGGATGCTAAAATCTACCAGATGCCAGCATTCCTGCTCACTGGGGCTGAATAGGATGTGACCGTGGAGTGTAAACAGAATTTGGAATACAACGCCATGTACCAGTACCGACAGAATCCAGGTCAAGGGCTGAGACTCATCTACTACTCACAGGTTGTAAATTATGTTCACAAAGGAGACGTACCTGAAGGCCACGCTTTCTCTCGAGAGGAGACAGAGATGTCTCCTCTGACTGTGAGGTTGGCCCACATCAATCAAACAGGCTTGTATCTCTATTCTGGTAGCACAGCAGAGTCGAGCACGGCCACTGTCCACCTGTGCACAAACCTGCTCCAGCCCTGCAGCCCCCAGCACAGCCTCTATTTTAATACTTGGCTAAGTATCCTTCCCTACACTCTCTGAATTCTTCATCAGGGGCTCAGGAGAACAGACCCAGAGGATGCACTTTCTCCTTGTGCTTCCAGTCATTTAATGACTCCTTTTACATTCATCTATATCGTTTCTTGAGATTTTACTATGTCCTCCCACTTTTTCAAATACGAAAGATACAAAGTTGAATAGAAAACAGATCTTTCCTCAAAGAAGCTAACAGTCTACTAGTAAAGAAAGTAATTATAATAGAATGGAATTTAATATAATACATCATAATATAGTATCATAATATAGCAACATAATATATGACAATACTATAATCAGAAGTTCTTTGGAAACTCTGGGGAGGACATGCCAATTCTCTCTTGTTGGATCACAGAAAGCTAAGAGAAGGTTACATTTGAGGTTCACCAGATGGACCTGATTGTGAGAAGCTCATTCTGGACAAAGAGAACAAGTTCTGCAAAGGTATATTAAAGAGAGTGATACTTCAGAAAAAGAAATGAAGAGAAAGAAGATGATCAACTGAGATGAAATAAATCCAATTGGACAAACTTGACAGAACAGATAGAATGGAGTTTCTGAATAAGTTGAGTTTCTGGTCATGGATGTAAGTATGGAAGTCCCTTGTAGGCTGTTGCTCCAAAGAGAGAGCTGAGGCTTGATAAAATATTTGGTTATCATCAGCAGACAGGTGATCAACACAATTTTTCAACTGTCTCCATATGACTTTGGTTTCTTACAATGACCGCAACCTCAGGTAATGTGGGATCTTGCTAGCAGTAGCAATTCCCATTTGGGTTAGTAAGCTTTGAGTTGTCTGTGGGACAGCCAGATGAAAATTGGAAGTAGGCGATTGTATACACAGATGTGAAATTGAGGTGCAATAGAGCTGGACTAGAGATAGAGATTCTGCAGAGCTCAGCATATAAAGGGTTAAACTATGGGGCCGGAAAATTTCACCCAAAGTGTAAATTTCCATAACGGAGATAAAATGCTTGGAAATATAGAATGTGGTATTCTGGCTCTTTAGGGTGATAAAAGAATGCAGAAAGGGACTGTTGAGGCTGATTGAGTAGGGAATGATCAGGTTGCAAAATGCAAAAACAAAGAAGTAGTTTAGAGAGAGAGTGGGTTTTGGCTTGCCTAATGTTGATATTTCTTAAAAAACGAGAAATAAAAGGTAACCGCGGAGAAAAACCCTCAAACACTTCTTGGATAACAGGCAGAAGTAGGGGAATGGTCAAACGTTAGTTTCTTCTGGTAAATAGGATCTTTTACATTGCAGTAAATATACAAATATATAAAGGCTGCTGACAGCCATTAAAGAAGGCATAAATACTAAAAACAGATCCTATCTTTATAGGTTGGATAGATTCAATGCTTTAAAAAAAAATTTCATTTTTTTCCAAATTGATTTATAGATTTAATATGTTCCACTAAAAATTCCAATGTATTTTTGGTAGAACTTGGTAAGTTAAATTTAAAATTTATGTTCTGCTGCAAAGAGCCAAGGATAGTCAAGACCGTCTTGAAGTAGACAACCAAGTGGGAGGATATAACTAATGTCAAGAATTATTATA